GCAGATGGAATTATTTCGATTTATTCACAATCTGTAATTGTAGGAGGTATCATATATGTATTGTAGGAGGCATCACAATATGCAATTAATTTTCAAGAATATGTTTTAAAATCCTTACGCATTGTTTCTTTAACCCATCCAGATTATTTTCCAATAAGTAGAAATGCAGATGAAATTATTTCGATTTATTCACAATCTGTAATTGTAGTAGGCATAGGAATAGGAGGCATCATCTATGTATTGTAGGAGGCATCACAATATGCAATTAATTTTCAAGAATATGTTTTAAAATCCATACGCATTGCTTCTTTAGCCTATTCAGATTGTTTTCCGATAAGCTGAAATGCAGATGGAATTATTTCGATTTATTCACAATCTGTAACTGTGGTAGGCATAGAAGTAGCAGGTATCATATATGTACTGTAGGAGGTATCACAATTTGCAATTATTTTTCAAAAATATGTTTTAAAATTCCTGCTTATTGTTTCTTTAGCCCACCCAGATTGTTTTCCATTAAGTAGATATAAAGGTGAAATTATTTTGATTTATTAGCAATCTGTAACTGTAGTAGGCATAGCAGTAGGAGGCATCATATATGTACTGTAGGAAGCATCACATACTATGGCATAATTTTTAATAAGATCCTTGCCAGTAATTTTCACGTAGCTTTTGAATGCATCAGTGTCAATGTCATATCTACTTCATATAATGATAAGTACCCTTTCTTTTAATAACTACACCACAATCTCTTGAACTCATTTTTGCTTCAAAAGATTACTCATCATTTGGAGTTATTTTTGGTGTATTTGGACATTTTTGAGCATTTTGGTGTTTTAAACCATTTCGTATGAAAGAGGTCTTTGCACGACCATTAACAACGTTGTTCGTAGCAAACAAATAAAATAATTACATTTAACTCATTTAACTAATTCTTACTCATATACACTCAAGAGCCAAAACATTATGACCACCTGTCAATAACGAGTTGGCCCACCTTTGGCCCGCTACACAGCTTCAACCCGCCTTGGCATGGATTAATACCACCCCTTAATACCAGTTAAATACCACTTCCACCAACGGCCGTACCATGCTGAATATAACGGTTCTCGTTAGATAACCGAAGTCAAGCATCATTGGGCGCGGTCAGTACTTGGGTGGGTGAGCACCTGGGAACACCGCGTGCTGTTGGCAAATTTGGGACCTGGATGGCCGAGTGTCTAGCGCTCGGTGTCACAGGTTTCGGGTTCGAATCCCGGCGGTGCCATGGATGTTTGTAGTGGTTCGGAATCCACTTTAAGCCGTAGGTAACGGTCTACTATGACTGTAAGAGCGTCACGGAGCCAAAGTCAGGCTTCTACCTACGGGTGCTCCATCACAACAGAAGCTGCTTCCTTCCCCTTCAATCATGAGTACGTATGGGCTCGTGGGCTTGGTCAGTCAAGTGGGATAAGAAACAACAACAACAAATACCACTTCCACCTGATCACGTGCCTTCCACATCATCCGGGCGAGTTCATTGCAAAATGTAGGGGTGGTCATAATGTTTTGGCTCTTGAGTGTATATATTAAATAATAGTGAATTCTTCTTACTCATTGCAGCAACAGCCCCAAAGTGAGTCAAGCCCATTTGCCTATTGGCAGATTTGGACACATTAGATGTTTCTTTTTACGGGCTAGGGTTGTCAACTCTATTCTCAATGGTCATATTAGACCGAGACCTACGGTGTAAATTGGATTTCGAACCATTACAAGCATCCCTGGCATCGCCGGAAGTCGAACTCCAAACCTGTGGCAAGAGCGCCAGAGAGTTAGTCACTCGGCATTAGGCTCCAATAATTAATTTACAAATTCTTACTCTAATAAATCAGTAACTAAAATATAATTACAAATTTTTTCCTATTGTCAACAATTTTTTTTAATACAAAAAGGGGTTAATTTTTGTTTAAAATCGGGCAAATCATTTTTTTTCTTTCTAATGCAGATGGAAAACACTTAGACAGCTTGGTCTTGGATGCCTTAAGGCAAGCGCTGCACAGACGTTACTCACTTTGCATTACGCAGGGGCGCGTGTAACTTGAAGATAAGCCACGGACGCGGAGTAACAATGCCCCCACAATGCTCTACGATCCTATTCGACCGGGACTTATGGTTTAAAGTGGATTCCGAACCACTACAAACAACCATGGCACCACCGTGACTCGAACCCGAAACCTGTGGCTAGGTGCGGACGCTAGCCACTCGGCCATTCAGGCCCCAATCGCGCAAATCTTCAAATAGCAATTTATTCTTTTTGCAATGGTATCTCTTAACAAAAGAGAATCTAAATTTATCAAAACATTTTTTTTTATTGTTCAGGCTATTTGATAATGTCAAAAAGATAATTTTTCTCATGAGAATCTAACAAAAGTATCGTATATTAGTGGCATTAGTGAAACATGCAAAATTTATTAAAAACATTTTTACCAACATAAAAGCGACACAAGAAAAAAAATGTAAATAAAAACATAGTTTCATTTCAAGGCTTTGTTAATCAAATATTACAGATAATATTTATTCAATAAATTCCAGTAAAAAATTAGGAGAAATTACTCTTTTCTCTTCATCTCTAAAAAAACACAAATGCAGGTTTCGAAAATATTTTCCATTTTAATATGCTAATAATTTATCATAATTTAATAAAATAAAAATAAAACTCCCTCAATTACTTACAAATACCAACCTGAAAGATTCGAATTCATGGAAAAATTGGAATGCCTTAATTACCAACTTAACAATATTTCCTAGCAAGCACATGCCCAATTTCAAACATTTTTGTTGGTGTGTACAACGAAAAAATTATTCTTTCACCAAAACTCTACAAAGCGTAAAGGATGTAGAAATTTAAAGCATTTTAAGAAATAAACACAAAAATTCTGGCATCTAACTTTTGTTTTCGACTTTTTGCCAACTTTTCAAGCATTTTATATAGCAATGCATGTACTGTCGTACTACTGTGCCCAAAAAATTAGAACACTTTTCAATTTAAAATTCCAGGGGCTTATGGAATTTCATTTTTTTTCTTTTAGATTGCTGGCACTGTCTTTGACATCTGTGTGAAATTTGACTTCAAAATATTCATTCATGTGTTAGTTACGCTTGGCTTTGTGAGACGCTAAAACTGATTCAGGCCATTTTTAAAATGTCGGAATTAATTGAGAAAAGAAATTGCATTCAATTTTGTTTGCGGTAACGTAAAAAATGTTGCAAAAGGCATTCGGTGAGCATTTCTATATCGGAAAAAATGTTTATAATTGGTATAAACAGTTAAAGGAAGGCAGAGAAAGCGATGAAGACGAAGAGCCCTCTGCCCGACCATCAACCTCAACCATAGGAGTTAATTAAAAAATGAATGATTTGGTGTATGCAAACCGTCGATTTACAATTAGAGTCTTGGCTGATGATATTGGAATTTTAAAAAGATCGGTCAATTCCATTTTGGACCTCAAACGCGTTAAATCTCGATTGGTACCGAAAACACTGAATGAGCCAGCTCTCAATGCATGGATTTTTTGTGACGTTTTCACCAAAAATGAAACCCATATCGTTCCACAATCACCGTATTCAGACCTTGCCGCTTCCGCCTATTCCCTAAACTCAAGAGACCCCTCCGGGGACCCGTTTTAAGTCGATTGAAGAGATGCAATGTGAATCGCCGCGCGCTTTGAAGGCCATCCCTGCCGATGACTTTTTATTGAAGATTGAAAAAAAAGTTGGCATGAGTGCATTGTGTCCGGAGAGGATTAGTTTGAAGGCGATGAAATAAATTTGGAAGAATAAATAAAGAGTTTTTGAAAAAAAAAAAAAAAAAAAAACAATTGGTCTTACTCTTTGGGCACAGTAGTATATTTCATATCTAGTGATCGTGATGGTCAAAGAAAAAGTCTATTCCGTCTGATACGATGTGGACCGTAAATAGTGTCGAGGTAATGTAATTTAAGGAAGTGTTCTGAAATGCAATAGAACTGGAACCTGGCGTACAGTTAGATGAAAACCAGAAATAAATTCTGGCAAATTATTTTATATAAAACTCTGCGTATGATCTAGAAATGATCATGACATGTTTGACATTTTTTGTTATTGTTCCCCATTTCATCCGCAGCAGCTGTGAATATTGTATTACGAGCATCTTTTGTACAAAATTAAAATGTTTTTTGAATTTTACATTACTTATATTTTGTACTTATCTGTTATTCTTATCTTCCTTATAATAACACATATAAGCTAACATAAGGGGAAAATCAGGTGTCATTTCTATACACACATTCCGTTACAAAAACTGCTGATTTCAATCCCCTCTATTTGCCTGTACACTTACGTCATACTATATGAATACGCTGTACAGGCAAACAATAATATACGTATATATATATATATATATATATATATATATATATACATCATAGAATTACATTTGTTTTGTAAAATTACATCACTAAATTATATTTATTCCTATAATCCCAAACGTTAAAGAGTTTTGAAGGATTTGCTAATTAAATAAAATATCTGTAAAATAAAAAATATATATTATATGCATCAACATTTTTATTATTTTAGTTTAAATATCCCAATCTGCAAATTCTTCTGAATAATTTTCCATTCTCATTCGAGCAGACATTTTATTTTAAATAATACATACTTTAATTCTGTTTTATTGCATTACAACTGTCGTATATTCAATACATAAAATTCTAATTTTCATCATCCCCATTTAAAAACACATGAATATAACTGAATCTCGAACTTTGCAACATATTAAATAGTCATTGAATTTCTTCCCACTTCCATTGGGGCGATATGTGTAAATAATCTTTACATGAAAAAAAATAAAATAATGGTAAATAATCTTTACAATATCGCCACAAAGTATGTAAAAGAATGCATATATATTGTATTTTATGTGTACGAATACATGTATATTGTATTTTATGCGTTAAGAAAGCATATACATTGTATAACAGAAATCGGTTCTCGTTAGATCACCGAAGTCAAGCATCATTGGACGCGGTCAGTACTTGGGTGGGTGACCACCTGGGAACACCGCGTGCCGTTTGCATTCACATATTTGGGACCTGAATGGCCGAGTGTCTAGCGCTCTGGCGCTCGGTGCCACAGGTTTTGGGTTCGAATCCCAGCGGTGCCGTGGATGTTTGTAGTGGTTCGGAATCCACTTTAAGCTGTAGGTCCTGGTCTCCTATGACTGTAAGAGCGTCACGGAGCCAAAGTCAGACTTCTACCTACGGGGTGCACCATCACAACAGAAGCTCCTTCCTTCCCCTTCAATCATGAGTGCGTATGGGCTCGTGGGCTTGGCCAGCCAAGTGGGATAAGAAACAACAACAAACAATAACATAACAGAAATGAATAGTTGTTGTGATGCTTCGAATTTGTATCATAAAAGCAATATTATTGTTATTGAAATGATAATTGGAAGTTAGCACTCATAAATTCAACTGGAAGAAATTCTGATACAAAAAAAAAAAAAAGTTAGTAAATGAGAAACAGAGGATGACTCATTTAAAAAGGAAGCCTCCTGAAGAACTGTTTTTATTCTGCGACGAACATTTTGAAGCGTTGGGCCTGAATGGCTGAGTGGCTAGCGATCTGGCGCTCGGTACCACAGGTTTCGTGTTCGAGTCCCGGCGGTGTCATGGATGTTTGTAGTGGTTCGGAATCCACTTTAAACCGTAGGTCCCGGTCCTAATAGGGTCGTAGAGCGTTGCGGGGGCACTGTTATTCCGCGTCCGTGGCTTATCTGCAAGGTTACACGCACCCCCTGTGTAATGCAAAGTGAGTACCGTCTGTGCAGCGCTTGCCTTAAGGCATCAAAGACAAGTGTCTAAGTGTTTGCCAACTGCATAAGAATAAAAAAAAAACATTTTGAAGTGTAAATCATTTCTCTTCTGTGATTTCAAATATCAATTTTTATTATATCATAGTAATTTTTGTGAACATTTTTTTTCCATCTGAAATCCAGTAATTTATACAGTTGTACTATTGGAGAGAAGCAAAATGTTTTAACATATCATTTTTAAGTGAACTCATGGCCTTTCTCGTTGAGATACGAGTTGGTATTTCACAGTTATTTGTTCTTTTCCTCTACTGGACCGCAATTGGATAACTCGAGATACAGCTGCCAATCGGCGAGCATAAATTTCATTGAGTCAAGTCTAGTGAACTAATGTTAAAAACAATAGAAACATACTAACGTAAAATCTTCAAATTATGATGTTATAATGTGTGCGGTTCAGTATAAATTCGCTTTTTATTGATTCCATTTCTTCCATATTGTAATGTTGGTTCTTTTTGATAGCCGTTTTGGTATATATCTATAGTTTCTTGGTTTTCCTTTTTATCTTGGATAAGTCCCCTATTTATTTATGTAGATTTTTCTTTCTTCACGTTTTGAAGTGAAGAAAGAGAAATATAGTCCGTTACCTCCTTTGAAAATGCCTAATTTTTATTTGTTATTATCGTAGTATGTGGTGATTATATATTTTAAGTAGGTCTGTTTTGAAAACCAATTATGGAGAATGTTGATTCACACCCCAATTTAATTTAGTATACCTCTACTGAAGATTTACAATTCAGTTACCACCCTCATATCCGAACAGAATAACAACTAGCTTTTAATTATGGCACGGCATCTTTCACTGTCGTGCTTGAAGTGCCTACTAAAATGGTTCCCCAAAGCGCATCCAAAATCATGAAATAATTTATCGTCTAAAATTACCACTTTCAAACATGTTGATCATATGCAAATCACACGGCAAGGTAAGTTAATTATTTCTATCGATCATTATCACAGTGACAGGGAACAGGAAGTATTGTTAGAAAATCAATTTTCGGCTTGCACATATCTGCATCCTTTTGTCTGATGAAAATCTAAACCCAATTCCTACTTCATAATATTCCGCCAGATATCTTCCTCGCAGAACTTGCTATAGAACTTGAAAAGGTTTGATTTGTCGCTCTACGGTCTTTTTGTGCACACTTTAGGCTAATTAGACAGGTACCTACTGTTTAACGTGGATTCCGAACTACTAACAAAATTTCCATGCCACTAAACGACACACTAAATCCACACCTAAATAACTTGTTTATAGCTCAAAACACGATAAATTTATGAACAGACAGAATTTCGTATGAAGCTCCAAGTTCCATCAAGCCCGCCATCGCCACTGTCAAAAGACAATTTGTTGCATTTAAGGTTTTTTATCTTTAAAAGAGGGATTGTATTGTACTGGTGGAAGAATTTGATGTCAGGAATTTGAACCTGAAGCCTGTGGTATCAAAGGCCAGTGCGCTAGCCAATTGGCCATCAGGCCATGAACGTTAAGAGAAGAATAGCTTCATCATATCGAAACCCAGAAGATTGACCAGCAAAAGAACTATGCCAAATCTTTCTATTACTATTCTCCCAATCCTCGTCACCATATTAGGTACAATTTTACCTAATTCTTTCTTAATTTCTTTTTTCGATAAAAAAGCATCCTTATTGCAATTGCTTTTCCTTTAAATACCCTACCAGAGCATGTAAATTCCTGTCGCCTGTGAATACTGCAGTGTATCATATTTTGCAACGTGCCACATTAACTAACTGCACTAATCTTTACAGCAAAGGAATATTTTTTTTGAATTCAAAACTCTGAACTGTCTTTCATTCATAGAAGCAAGGAGATTCAATCGCATTCCAAAGACGAACAGTTTTGATTTCAAACTCCAATCAAACGATACCTCAGTCTCTAATTATGTTATAAAAGAAGATATTATCCAGGTTGTTCCCCAAATAAGCACACGAAACTCTAAAAGTGATTAAAGACATTTGTCATGCACAAGATATACTTTTTCAAGAATCGATTGAAAGGCTGAATGAAAATACAGTGGCATCTCCAACCTACCCCAGTCAAGCAATTAAACTCGCTTCTTCCTCCAATACGACTTTAATCACCTCTTTTAAAGATAAAAAAAACCATTAAAGGCAACAAATTATCTTTTGACAGTACTTGGGACAGGGCTTGATGAAACATGGCACTTCATGCAATGTTCTATCTGTTAATAAATCATCGTGTTACGAGTTATAAACAACTAATTTAGGTTCTTCTTTTCATTTTTTTCACAAGTTTTTCGATTTTCTCTTTTTTTAATTCCTAATGCTCCATCCCACATTAAATATTTTACAGATGAATGATCGCTATGATAGAGCCAAAAATACTTTTACTTAATTTTTTTTTCTTCTATTAAAGTTTTTGTTATGCAAGAAATATTTCTTAGTTGTGAAGAGGAATTTTTTTTACTTCCCGCTCATTTTCTTCATCAGCTTCATTTTTTTTTCATTTAGAAGACACGTTTATTTATAGAATGGATCGAACTAACAATACATGAAGAGGACTATTAATAGCTTTAACTCATCTAATCCTTGCCAAGTATTCAACCTTCTTAATCTTCCGCCTTCAGAAAACGAAATTCGGGTTCAACGCCCACAAAAAAAATTTACTATAGTGAACCTTTATTCATCCATAGATCATTTCCTCATTGAATGGCTGGAGGAAAATATCATCAGATTCCTTCTACTTGCATCATGCTATATTATTATGCCCAAAAAATAAGACCAATTTTCAATTTAAAATTTCCGAGGTTTATGGAATTGCATTTTTTTACTCTTTATTAGGTTGCTAGCACTGACCTGGATATCTGTGTAAAAATTTGACGTCAAAATATTCATTAGTGCTTGAGTTACGCTTGACTTCGTGAGACACTAAAACTGATTCCGGCAATTATCTAAATGTCTGAATTAATTGAGTAAAGAACTTGTATTAAATTTAGGTTGCGAAAACGTATAGAATGTTGCAGACGGCATCCGGTGAGCATTCCGATATCGGAAGGAAGTGCTTAGAAGTGGTATAAACAATTCAAAGAAGGCAGAGAAAGCGTTGAAGACGAAGAGCCCTCTGGTCGACCATCAACTTCAACCGACGAGGCCCACGTCCAAAAAATTAAAGATATGGGGCTTGCAAACCGTCGTTTTACAATTAGAGACCTTGCTGATGATGTTGGGATTTCAGAAGGATCTGTCAATTTCATTGTGGGCCTCAAACGCGTCAAATCTCGATTGGTATCGAAAATACTCGATTGGTTACTGCATTCATTCTTAGTGACTTTTTCGCCAAAAATGAAACCCATATAGTTTCACAACCACCGTATTCCCACCGCGCGACTTCTGGCTATTAACTAACCTCAAAATCCCACTCCGGGGACACCGGTTTGAGTCGATTGAAGAGATTCAACGTGAATCAGCGTGCGCTTTGAAGGCCATTCCTGCCGATGACTTTTTAGCGTGCATTGAGGATTGGAAAAAAAGTTGGCATAAGTGCATTGTGTCCGGAGGGGATTACTTTGAAGGTGATGAAATAAATTTGGAAGAATAAATAAAGAGTTTTTGAAAAAAAATAATTGGTCTTACTTTTTGGACATAGTAGTATTTGGTGATTTTTATTCGCATCAATGCATTCTGGATTCTTCGCAATAGAAATAATCATCTCGTCAAGAAAAAAAATCATTCTTACCAATAATAATTTGTTTACCACAGATTCGGTTCACCAAGCAAATCTTCTGCCATGGTATTTCAATAGACCAGCAATTTATTCTGTTTGAATTTACGATAATTCCTGTCACTATATTGATTATTTTACTTTCAGTGGATAACAAGCTGCTACACGTACGGCTCCTAATGCTGCTCCAGGTTGTGACGATAATCCAGTAATATTAAATAAAATACTTCCTACTTAGTATCTTCTACAACTTCATCATATGTTTAAGAACATGTGGCTTACCGGGAATATACCACAAGAGTGATTCAATGGACAATCCATCCCAATTCTTAAACCAAATAAAGATATGACTTCCATTGCGTGCTACCGAACAATTTCTTTAACTTCCATTTTATGTAAAGTTTTGAAAAGATTGTATTTAAAAGAATTATTCCTTTTACATTTCGTGACAAATTCCGCCATTATCCTTCAGGCTTTATTCCTTTAAAAGATTGCTTGTATT